TCAGCAGGATAAATAGAGACGGCATAGAAGAGTACCAGAGGATGACGGGACGACATAAGCGTGGAGGAGGTTAGGAAGGACGACGCGGAAGCGCGACTCGAGAGGATCCTCATCCCCATCGCCGCCGCCGCCAAGAGAGGAGGAAGAAGAGGCGGCGATTCGCTCCCGGAGTTCGTGAATGAGGATAGAGAGGTTAGCCATTAGGGCTAAGATCACAGACCATTGGCTTTCATCCACGAACAGTAGAAGAAGACTGAGAATGATCTCGCGCGCAGCAAAAATTTGAACGCGCTGCGAAGAACCAGACGCGTTTGGGAAAGGTGGGTGCTGTGGACAGTGCCGAGGCACACGCGTATTTATATGTCGGCGGTTCAAAAAAAATACATCGGATTAAATGGATAATTAAATGTATAAATTTTACCATTTTATATGTTAAGAATGGTCTAAATCAATTTCAGGCCGTTAATTTAATAATTTTATTAATAATCAGATGAAAAGTATATTAAAATTTTATCATTTGTGTTAATTAACTATGAATTTAGCAAATGATTTACTAAAGATTGCATGATTGTGTAAAAAATTTTACTTTCTGAAAATGATTATTTATTTTATGTAATATTCAAATAAATGAATTTGTCATTTTTTTTAAATATTATAAAAGAATACGAAAGAACAATTGTGTGTGTGCATTTGTTTTTATTTATTATCGTTTTTTAAAAGGAATGGCCAAAGACTATTATACGAGTTTCTGGCCACCCATAATGTGTCTAACAATTTGGGCTTCACCTCATTAAGTGCAACTGTGCTAGAGAGGATTCGAAGACCCGAAGTTAGGGGCATTATGCCAAGGATGCCAACCAATATGTTAGGATACACGACACAATAATTGCATGTATGTATATGTATTAAATCTATTGGGTGAATGTGATTTTATATTTTTATGATATTTAAAAATAAAATAGTTTCTATTATGCATGAAATATACATTTTTTTATATTTAAAATAATTTTTATTGAAAAAATATTGGAACTTGCTTTATTTTGTGAAATCACATGAAATTGTATATATTAATATTTTCATTTTAATTGATGGAGCTTAAAGAATAGTCCCATATTTTTAGGGTAATTGTGAAAACCCGACATCAAATAGGGATAAAATATTTAATATTTAAGAATTTAAACTGGGATTAAATTGAAAGTTGAAGTGGATAATACAATATATATTTAAATTATTTTAATATAATTTAAATAATAGAAAAAAGAATATTTTAATATGGCTTGTATCAATTCTACTAAAAAAATATTTTAATTTACGATAATATTTTTTGATGTTTTGAAAAATATTCTAAATAAAAAATTTAAGATATGACATTTTCTCTATTTTTAATTTAAATATTATATTTACGTCAACTAATCAAAATCAAAAAGGTTAAAATGGAAAAATATTTGAACCCGATGGCTTCTTAAAAATCAGACAAATTTGTCGGTTCAACCTCAGTTCAGACCAATTAATGCAAAAACAGTTATGAGTTTGTACTGAACTGGTTGAATGATTCACGGTTGAACCGATCAGTCTCACCCAGTTCTTATCAAAGTTTTAAAAACCGGTCCGGATCGACCAATTCAACCAGCTTGACCGCGAACACGGTTCAACCGAGAGCCAGTGGTCGGACAGGTCCGGTTACCCAAAGAACCATTTCAGCCTTCAAATAGAAGAAAACCGATCAAGTTGATGGTTCAAACGGTAAACTTCTTACACGTGAAGCGCCACTTTAATTCATTACATGCCCTGATTTTTTTATTGTGATTCATTGCCTGTGAGCCATGATTGAAGGCACAGAGGCTATAGGGCAATTCGAAGCTCTCCGACACTCGAACAGCAGACAAAGCCTCTAAGGAATAAGGATCGAAGCTCTCCTTCTATTCTCTTCGTCTTCCCCGAATCTTCATCCACTATAAACATTTTGTCGTTTCCACCTCTCGGCTGCCCCTTTTCTTTTGGCTTCTCTTTCCCCCTTTCACGATGGTTCAAACTGTAAACCTCTTACAGGCGAAGCGCCACTTTAATTCATTACATCCCTAATTTTTTTTATTGTGATTCATTGCATGTGGGCCATGATTGAAGGCGCGGAGGCTATAGGACAATTCGAAGCTCTCCAACACTCAAACGACAGACAAAGGCTCTAAGGAGTAAGGATCGAAGCTCTCCTTCTATTCTCTGTCTTCCCCAAATCCTCGTCCACTAAACATTTTGTCGTTTCCAGCTCTCGGTTGCCCCTTTTCTTTTGGCTTCTCTTTCCCCCTTTCATCCATACGTCGAGGAAGAATTTTTCATGCACCGAATGAGATTACATTGAAATATTCATATAGAAATGGTTGTTATGAACTTATGCGGGTTTATTGATTCAGTGTCATGACTCTTTTCTTATGGCCGACAAAGGCTCTGTTCTTATGGCTTCCCTTTTTCTTCTGAAAATATATTTTTCTTCTTTCTTGCATAAAGTTCTAAATAAATACAATCTCAGTAGAGCATGTTTAACACCAAGTTTTTATAAATTAACATTTATAACAATCTAGTGCCGTAAGGTTATGCATGAAAATATATATTTTATTTTTAAAAGGATAAGTGTTAAGTATATAAATAGGAAAGTCATTTAGGTCTTAAGTATGCAAATTCATAAAAATAGTGTGGAATGTATGTAATTGTGCATCCTTAATATCAATGTCAACGATGAACATCAAGTCAAAATTTAGGAGGTTCCGTTAAATAGAATACGTAAATTTGAATTTATTAAATCCATCTGAGAGGCGGATTTGCGAGCATAGCTCATCATATGGAACAAAAATTACGTACGGAATCCGGACGTAGAGATACGTTCGGAGTCCAATGAAATCACGTCATATGAAAGTGACAGGAAAAAAAAATTATTTTAACACATGAGAATATTCCTCAAGTGTTATTCTGCATTATTCAGGTGTTGTTGTGGTGGTATTCATGTATTATTGTGTTTTGAGAATATTTTCGGTGTTATAATAACACAATAACACATCATACGTCATATGAAGGTGACAGGAAAAAAAAATTATTTTAACATATGAGAATATTCCCCAAGTGTTATTCTGCATTATTCAGGTGCTATTATGGTGGTATTCATGTATTATTGTGCTCTGAGAATATTCTCGGTGTTATAATAACACAATAACACATCAATTTCACCATAATAACACTTGAATAAGGGGGAATAACACGGGAGGAATATTCCACCGTGCTACCGTGGCAGATCACAAAAAAACAAGTTTTTTCTTTTTTTTTTTATAACAGCTCCACGAGTAGGTGATTCAGTGAACTTCAAATGCATCTCTACGTTCGAAGCCTGAACGTAATAATTTTGCCATCATCATTTGGGCAAGTGAACGGGCGAATATAGATTCAACAAGGGCTCTAGAAAGCCGATATATAGCATGCCTAATAAAACTCTAAATATTGCAAAAAGATGTCATTTAGCTACGCCTTGCAATTTTCTTGGAACCATTTGGTTCATAAAATAATTGCATTTTGGCCATAACATTATGATTATTAAATGCTGGAAATAAATTGAATAAAAGAAATATAAAAAATAAAATATATTATATCACTATTATTAGAAAAAAAAATAAATCTTCTCCATTTTTCTATATTTATTTTTTCTCTATTTAGGTATGAAATAGAAAAAAAAAATAAAAAATGAAATATATTTTATTCTAACCTTTCGAGTGAATTTTATTTCAAATTGAAACACAAAAAAAATAAAGAAATAAAAATGTCAAGGATATATTTCTTATATATGAATTTACATTGTAATATTGCTAATTCGCACGGCACAACCAGCATCATTTTTTAGGGAAAAATTATTTCACACGGACACCGCATGCATCTGATCTCGACTTATCACCGCAAAATGTGTTTCGGTGGGCTTCACTTTCATTTTTTTTTTAATATTGATTGTTGTGATCGACGGTGGAAATCGAACAATGCATTCATCTCTGCATGCGGTGTCCGTATAGAATAATTTTTCTTTTTTAGGAGGGGCAGAGTTTTAAATATATAGTGTAAGGTTCCCATGTATTTACATATATAACCTAAAACTTTATTTTTTTATATTTATACTATTCAAATCTCTTAAATCATATAAGAAAAAAAAAGATATGTTGATGCCAATTTTTAATATTGAAAAAGTGACATACAATAAGGTGTTATGTAAGTAAAAAGGAGGACTAGGTGTTTGATATGTAAATTAAGGGGGAGGGGACCCATGGGTCTCCCCATGCTAATTGGCACTTCAAAATTATTTTATTTATTTTATTCAAATCTTATAATTTCGAAACATGATTTATTTAATTAAAATTAGGGGCATCCGCGTTGTTCACATACCTGTTGCGAACTATACACCAGTTGATGTGGTGTATATATAAATCAAACAGAAGAACGATCGACGAAACGAAAAAATAGAACGAGAAAAATCGCACAAAAAAAGAACACACAGATTTACGTGATTTGGCAAATTTTCTACGTCCACGGAATTGCAGAGGATTTTATTACTTGAGGAATTTACACCAGTCGATCACCTCGACTTAGAAGATGAATATCTCACTTCGTTGATTTTTCTTCTTTTCTCTCTCCTTTCTTCTCCCTCTATACTGTGATACACCGAAGAAGCTCTACACCAAGATACACCGAAGAAGATGAGCTTACAAGAGAAATAAAACTAATTTATCTTCTGTCATAAGCCACCAAGAAGAAGTCAAGGGAGAACAATCTTCTTCTTCCTTCACCACAAGAAACTACACCTTGTACTTCTCTTCTTCTATCCCGAGGAAACCCGAAGAACTCTGTTGTGAAATTTAGGGCGAATAAAACACAGAAATCGACACAAAACAAGAAGAAAGCGGAGATTTAACGAGTTTCGACAAAGATGCCTACATCATCAGGAGCAGAGCGACGAATTTAACTATTTTAGAGGAGTTACATACCCACAGAGTTACGCATCTATTTATAGATAAAACTCACAGATAATTACAAACACGCCCTCGCTCCCCCAAACTCACTAATCCAAGAGACACACATCTTCACACCAAGAGATACACCTCTTCATTCCAGGAGACACACATCTCCAAATCCAAGAGACTCCAAATCTCTGGTATATGAGTCATACCTAACAATTCTTCACCTTGGCGAATATTCAACCCCTTAGGAGAAAAAATCATGGAATTTCTTACACCGAAGTGGGTTGG